AAATTAATTTAATAAAAATTAAAAAATTAATTTTAGTTTTACGTATTAATAATCAGAAAACTGCAAATAGTACAAATTTTAATATCATAAAAAGCTAATTTTACAAAAATTAAAAAAATTTATTCAAGGTGTTTAAATGATGCAAATTAAAATTTGATCAAAAAATTTAACATTTTTTGTATCTAAAATATATTTGTTTAGTATTTTTAATTATCTTTTAATATTTCATATTTAAATATTTTTGGTTAATCTTTAGTTTCCCATTTAATTTAAATTATATAGCATACTTTTTAAGCAAAAATTAATTTATTTTATTAAAATTTAAGCTGTTTCCAATTATATGCCTWAAACTGTCTATGTTTTTTTGCGATATTGCTCACATTACGTGCATGTATTGAAAAACGCAATGAAAAAAATCAAAAGCSATGATTGTCAAAATGCAACAACAATTTCACAACAACCGCACCATGCKGTGCTAATAAAAACCACAACAACATCAATAATAATTAGAAATAAATCGCAGACAATGCCGCGCATCAAAGTGCTCCCATGACATTGCTGCCAACAACTCGTGCCGCAGCCGCGCAACCGATGCCACGATCGGCAGCAGCATTGTCAAGTGCAGTSGCGCTGGCAATTAAAAGCATTAAAACAAGTGCATACGTGTATCAGCCAGCAAATGAGCACATCTATATTAGATTTAGCAATGCGTCTATATATGCGATTGGTTTGTTTTCTTTAACGTTCCGCAGGCAGTGCAACCTTTGCATTGAAAGCGTGAGCTTGAGCTGCTTTGAAAACAGCGATATAGAAAAGCTAAAGAGAGTAAAMAATAGTCACCGTTATAATTGTTTAGCAGCGTGGTTTCTAATGCAACCTCTGGTCGTAGTTGCAGCTGTTAACTGGAGTTGCTTACTGGAGGTATACACAATTGTATACAATTATTATACAATACATATACATATGTACCATATATTATAGGTATGTATATGTATATAAATATTATTTGTGTCGCTGCTGCCGCTGCAGGATTTATGTTTTTGTATTGCTCTACCATAAAAGCTTCAATCGCGTGCCTTGCACTAATTTTTGCAATTTTTATGATTTTTGTGCTAGAAAGCTGGAATTGTTGCAGTTTTTATGTTTTTTTGTCATAAATATGTGTGTATATTCACGCAGCTATTAAATAATTAGTTGCTGCACTTCACATTCTTGTTTTTAACTTAATTAACACCAATTAATTGCAGGTTGTTATTGTTGTGATGAGCGCATGCGTGTTTATGGTAAAAATGCGAAAATATGGCTGATGTTATTAATAAAAAATAATATTTGTGTGTTGGAGACAGAAGTTTGAAGGGAAAATTCGTTCAGTCAGAAACGGTGGAAAATAGTTATATAATTTTTTTTTTCCTAAAATTAAAAAAAAATCAGCTTATTTTTGACTTTTAAGTAAAATAATTTCATATTGCTTTGTGATATGTTATTTACGCAACATTAAGCAGTGTAATTTTATGTTAATAAATAATAAAGTGAAACAAATCAGTTAAAAGGAAAGCAAGTTCGGCGCTTATGTCCTTCGTATGCCCATTAGAGTATWTGCTTGAGGAGACAAACAACTAATAATTTTTATAATAAATAGAAATTAGAGATGGTAGGCTTTTATTGAATAGTTTTTATGTAAAGTTCACATAATTTTTTT